AGCATTCACAGATACTATTTATATATATTATGAATAAGAGTGGGCCTAATACACTTCCCTGGATCACACCACTACTTACTGGTTTAGGCCTTGAGATTATGGAGCCAACTTTCGTTGTCTGACTTCGACCACAGAGAAATGATTTCATCCAGCTCAGGAGAGGGTCACATATCCCTAGTGAGCATAACCTGCTGACTAGCAGATTATGGGGAACTCTGTCGAATGCTTTTGCTATATCGAAATATAGTACAATTACTAGTTCCCTGTTGTCCCTACTTCGTGTAACTTCGTTGAAAAAGTCTATGTGACAGGTCACACATGATCTCTTTTTGGGAAATCCGTGTTGTGATGGATTGATAAGCCCATGTTCTAGTAAGTTGTCTGACACTTGGTCCTTAGATTTGTGAAAACTGTAAGGCCCCAAGGATCCTCTGACTTCTAGCTCGGGGATTTTCTCTATAATACAGGTGAGCAAATAAGTCAGAGAAAAGTAAACTGTGGGGTTTCTAAGACCTAAATATGGAGAGATATGGATTGCTTGGTAAACGTGATTGTATTAATGTAACAACTGAAGATCTATCCACCTGATCAGATAAGGCCCTGGGTGACTTCCCTCGCCGGTGTCTGCTATATCAACTGGGATTTATGGAATGTAATTAAAACTCATGGGATATAGACTGCCAGGCACCTGCATAAATAGACAACCATTAAAAATTTAGGAGGTGTCACATTTTTTGTGACTGACACGAGGACAACAAAAAAGTACGGGATAGGCAACAATTAAGCGCTTGACGTGTAGCGATAAACAATCTGTCTTCTTGCCTCTTTGCTCTTCGTTGAGAATTAAAGCAGTATAATAATAAAGGAAGCCGTAGTTTATCTGAAACGTGTAATGTATTGGCGCAACACATTTCGGACATTCTCATCACACACGTACTTGTCATACACAGTTTTTATATAATGCAAGAAGGCATGAATAATTACAATACAATACACATTCCAAAGTGGCTGCAGCAACAAATGAAATCACCAGACACAATTGAACCCGGAAATAGATGTCCAACATCATCTAAAGCCAAGCATACTATAGAGACGGGTCATAAGGTTGATTTCAACAGTGCCTTTAAGCCGATATATAAAACGAGGTTGGGCCACATACTTAAATTCATTGAAGCCTTAGCCATAAAAAGACTTTAACCTGTCTTATGTGTCCAAAATTTTTTGTTATCACCTTAAACCTGCATTGGTAATTCAATTTAGAACCAAGGACTAGTTTACTTCCTAATATTTTCAACCCCTTCTCTGCCTTGTTTTTTTCTCCTTTTACCTTTCTTACCCACACCTTTTGTGTCTCCCTACCCATTATTTGTGACCTTGACCTGTATACAATCTGACCTGTATTGTAATTATTCATTCCTTCTTGCATTATATAAAAACTGTGTATGACAAGTACGTGTGTGATGAGAATGTCCGAAATGTGTTGCGCCAATACGTTACACGTTTCAGATAAACTACGTCTTCTTATTGTGTTGTCGAAATTCATAAAGGGAACTAATTGCTTTAAATGAAGAAAGCCTCATCAACGTTAGTTGCAACACTAAGCCTAAAGTGGTTTGTCTAAACCTAATATGGTTGAGTTAAACCCTGGAACCCTTTTCATTCGGCATCTTAGTGCCCACTCTACTTCCCCTGTGGCGGCGGCTTGCTTGAGTCACTCAGCCACCCATCTCTGTTTTAACCATTGACTTAGACCTGTCGATTGTCAAACGTACTCACACAATTCTCAACTGACTTTCAACCTTCTACTGCTTATTTATCGGTAAAAAATAATGATTCCATAAGGGTCTTTTTTATTCTTCAGACTGAATGGCATTTCTTTAGATGTACTTCAGATTGCGATCTCACTTAAAGGTCGTAGATGGAACGTAGGTATTATGTAGTACGATACGCTGAAACTCCTATGTATTTTGTAATCATTTTTTACTATAGCTTGAATCCATACAGTCTTTCGTACAACTGTGAAATTCTCAGCATGTGGTGGCTGTAGCCTAAATTTAACACGGCTACCACTGACATTTCCAAAATTAACAATCGTTAGAAGCGTTCCACTCATACTATTCTGTGAAATGGCCATGTCCAAAAAGTTCATCACTTCGACAGACATAAGAAGGTGAAGTTCAAAAATAAACACGGGTGAACCTAGTATGCCTTATCACCTGACCGGTCGGTACCCTACCTCGATAATAAATACATATGTAAATGAAGCGAAAAGTTCAATTCGCTTGGGGAAGATTTTTAAACTTGCCTGCAGAGTATGGCTGAACTATGAACTAAGTGTCAGTAGGTATTAGTATCTTGAGGAAGAAGCACAAAATGACTTGTGGGCCAGTCCAGATGTTCCTCCTTAAAACAAAGCTTGAAAAATCAAAGACATCCGTTGGTGAACCAGAATTTGATTCGGTTAATTCTAAGTTGACCCAATTTTGACGACTAATTTGGACTACGGGTTTATTTTGGTTCTGTTGTAGGTGTGCTAAACCAGTGTATGCAACTACAGACCTATCAATATAACACCGGTAATATCCCAAATAATGGAGAAAGTGGTTAAAGACCAAGTGTCAGACAACTTACTAGAACATGGACTTATCAATCCATCACAACACGGATTTCTCAAAAAGAGATAATGTGTGACCTGTCACATAGACTTTTTCAACGAAGTTACACGAAGTAGGGACAACAGGGAACTAGTAATTGTACTATATTTCGATATAGCAAAAGCATTCGACAGAGTTCCCCATAATCTGCTAGTCAGCAGGTTATGCTCACTAGGGATATGTGACCCTCTCCTGAGCTGGATGAAATCATTTCTCTGTGGTCGAAGTCAGACAACGAAAGTTGGCTCCATAATCTCAAGGCCTAAACCAGTAAGTAGTGGTGTGATCCAGGGAAGTGTATTAGGCCCACTCTTATTCATAATATATATAAATAGTATCTGTGAATGCTTTAGTGTAGGTAAACCAATACTATATACACATGACTTAAAAGTGACGTATAAACGCAGGAACACAGATCTTGGAATAACAGTAACCGCCATACAGCAAGAATTAGAAAAAATGGATAGATGGTTTGACACCTGGCAACTCCAATTTAATGTCGAAAAATGTGGCTGGCTCTGCATAGGTTGCAACAATTTAGAACTTGACCCAACAATTCAAGGCCATGCACTTCAACGACTGGAATCTGTACTGGACCTAGGGCTGAAATATTCACATAACTTATCATTTTCTGAACACATCTCCAAACAAGTGTCAAAGTCACGCAGACTTATCGGCCTTCTACTCAGGAACTTCTACAGAAATGAGTCTAGAATTCTGTTGTACAAGGTTTGTGTGCGTCCTTTATTGGATAACTGTTCATTCATGTATAGTAGCATACGCATAGAGGACAAATTGAAAGTCGAGGGAGTGCAGAGGTACTTCACGTTAAAATTACTCGGGACCGAAAATTGTGCGAACTACTCCACTAGATGTGATACCCTAGGACTAGAAACACTATGGCTAAGACGCCTGAGACTAAACTTGACACTTTACTATAAGCTTCTAAACCACTTAGTTTTTACCTCTACTAATGGCACTCAACTTTCAGATGACAATGGCTACAAAATAAGACACACTAAGGGTACAGTAGCTATCGTACAATGTAAAACAGCCACCAGGCAAAAGTTTTACTTGATTAGGTATGCACGGATATGGAATTAACTGCCAATGGAAATGCGTCAAGCAAGTACATTGGCCTCCTTCGAAAAGGTGCTTAATGACAAACTACAAGAGTTTGCAAACGATAGTTGTTCTAGTTCCTATCTGAGAGCCTCCGAAATTATAGGTCCATTTAATGTAAAAGCTTAAATACTACACCTGTTGTTTTTGCCTATATTTATAATTCTAGATAAAACATTAACGGTTAACATACGTATCCTCAAACAGACAAGAAATCTCGTTTGTAAAACTACTATCCAACACAATAAGTGGAATAAAATGGACATAAACCGACAACATGTTAAAGGTATGACTCACCACATCATCACAAGGACAGATGAACGCTCGTTGGGTACCATATATCCCTCACCAACTGCAACGCACCTTTCCTTAGATAATGTGATGAACTTATACCCATAATGTTGCTGAGCAGTTAATATTCTCAACTCCTGTCGGAACAGCTGAAACTCATAAACCTTCCCAACGCTAAGAAAATACCCACAAGCAGTAGAAATCCATTAATTAATGCGTCTGAAGCTTATGTATATTTACTCCCAACAATGACATTGCAGATCAAATGAGATAAACATATCACTGATTTCAAAATAACACATCAGTGAACTATAATTGAAGGATTCTGCACACAACAAAGTTATGTATGAATATTTACTTCAAGCTTTATTTTTTTCCCAGGCACTTATAATCCATCCACCAAAGACCTGGGCTTTTTTTGTTAATGTGAAGACAATATTTCTGTATTTCCTGATGTGTTGCACTCACTGAAAATCTAGCAGATTTTTTCAACTGTGCACAGAAATGATTGTATATAAGTGAAAAGGCTGTTTTATACTACTGGGATTAACATTTATCAAGTGTATGTATAATCTCCAGCGAACATGTAAGGAATATCTTGCTACTGCTTGTAAATTGTGATTGAATTATATTGTTCTATTTCTGTAACAATTTGATGATGCCTGTAAACTGGCGTCCCTCTTGTACTGTACTATGAGAATAAATTTATTTATTTATTTATTCTCATCTTTAGGACTCCATGTACGTTTCCCCCCCATCATTTGACAAGAATTCTCAGTATAAAGGTGTAATTTCAGACAAAATGAAGTGTAATATAAGTTTGAGAGTTCTATTTGCACGCTGTCTTCAAAGTACTTTTTTTGTTTGAATGCATTGGTTCAACCTTGTGTCTATGCTTATAGATTTTGAGCTGGTTATGAAATATTTTCGGGGATGGGGGTTTTCAAGTCTAAAAACTCAAGTCATTTGTCACCAAAATCTATACGTCTGCCTAGTGGGAGTATTTTTGACTGTGGTCGAAAAGTAAGGTCTTAGTACTTAAATTCACTATTTTGCAGGTACTAATACATGAGCCTGAAGACTTACGTTATGTATGTACTCGATTAAATATCCCTGAAGATGAAAAATTTTTTATTATCACTAAGGTACAAATATATCGAAAAATAAACTTTTTTGTAGCATGATGGAGAGCGCTGCCTTATTCCTATATTCTACCCACTGCATCCCAACATTCTAAACTACAAAACTTCAAAGTAATCGTTATAATTTTTATTATTGTACGACCAGACAATTTATAACATATCATTTGTGTGAGCAGCTTCACCTGAAATGTATCCAGTTGAGCAGTCCTCAGGATTGCTCGGATGTTAAGTTGGTCAACGATTTCATCATAGCCAGTAAGTCCGATTGTTATCGTTCATATCGTTATCTTTTTGCTAGAATTATTAGGTAAAGTTATGCGTTTGTTATTTACTCTGTGCCATCTTGGGTTCTTCTATATATCTTGTTCTCAACTGATCTAACTATAGTTATCATTCTCACTAACTGTATTAATAGTTATTGGATGTAAGTGTTTGTCCAGCTAGTGGAAATCCGTTTTCCAAAAGAAAAAAATTCCTGGTTTATGACTCACTGGTAATTTTTAAACTGCCCAAGCGTCGCGAGAATTCGTTTTATATAAACTGTTGACTTAGTTGAGTCGCTAAAATACAAAGATTTATATTTCGGGTAGACCAGTGACGACTGGCTATTCGATTTTGTAAGCTAACCCTAATATTTGGATATGGGTATTTTCCACGAAGACTGCAAATGAAATGTAAGTTTTAGGGCTTTAGTGGAAAATAATTCATAGCAAGAGATATACCCAGGATAACAATAACGTGTATGATATAAAAGAATAAACATGCGAAGTCTCTCTTCAAATGCTCTCGTACTTTCAAGGAGATTTGGCTGAAATATAGGCAAATTATTACACTTAGTACAGTCAGGTGATGCCAAGATTTCAACTTTTCTGTAATTATGTAATCCTAAACATCGCCGTTTTACTTGTTTTTTTTTTAGATAAAAATCAGTTGAATACCAGTGAAGAAGACTCCAAAGCTCTGTGAGTATACATTTATTTTAGCCAAAACTATTCAGTCAAGTTTAGGAATACCTCTATAGCAGTGCGATTGTATTTTAATATTATTGGCCGAATTGTTTTGAGTTCTTATTTTGATCATAGTGTTATCACATCAACTTGAGTTTTTCTGGGACTGGTTTCCAACGTTAATCTCACTGTTGTTTTTGACGTTAAGAATATTTATAGTTCAAGTCACAAGTGTGTGTAATCACACCACAACCCAATTTGAGGTTATTGATGGCCTTCTATTTTGTATGCCAATAACTTTTGAAGTCCTAACGTAGTTATGTCAGAAGCTCTCGGAATTTCAAGTTTGCGTCGATAGGGTATGCAATGCTTAGTTTTAAAGTGTATTAAATTTATTTTGAGAGAATTATAATATGTGAATTTATGTCAAAGTACATCTGTTAAAGTTCTTCAAATACAAATCGAAAGCTTAAGGTTCACTAAAGGAGTGTAAAGGTAAGAAAATAGAAGAATGCAAATAAGTAGACCTGAGATGAAATTCTTCTGCGCTTTTAAAATGGAGATAATTTGTATCATTTACTGCTTCCGACCCATTGCTTATAAGTATTGCACTGTGATTTGAGATGTAACTTTAGAAGTTCCTCATAATTACACTAACATTCGCATGATGTTAAGAGATCGCAATTAGTCTCAAATGTTTCATAATTTCTATAATTCTCGTTGCATATACTTCATATGTCGTTTATAGTTTCAATTAATGTTAAAATAACAGAGTCTTAAAAGTGTTAAACTACAGTGTGGTTCATGTACTTACATACGACCTTTAATTTTGCTCCAATCTATTCATTTCATTCACAATTTTTGATCTTTAGCTTACGTGCAGTGTCGTATAAACAATATTTGCTCGTAAGAAATATAATCATTTCTGTTTCTAAAATTTAGGAATGAACTTTTGAATTCTGAAGAAATGGTTACGCGCCTGTTGAGCGTACTCCTAAGTATTCCAGAACTTACTACACACCTGGTACACGTGAAAGTAAGTGATTAGTGTCAATGAATTTTATGAAATTTTGCTAATAAATTCGTAGTTTTTACCTTTTTATATTGGTAGTAAATTGTCTGTATAACTAAGAGTTCTTACATATATACGTCTGACTAGTCATTGTGTTAGGCAACCTCATTGAATACTAATTAGGTGCTGCTATAGAAGTTACTTGTCCGTACAGCAAATTGTGTTATCATTTTGTCCAATTAGCTTTTACTTTGTAAATATTACCACAGTAAATAAAAAGGTGTATATCAGATAATGTTTTATACAGTAATGTATAGCTGTGATTGAATATTGCAACTGTTATGTACTTGTGTATAAGTCATTTCTAAGTGTTCATTTCATTGGGCTCAGTTGGTTGTAATGTTAGTTCATTCTTATACACACACACTAGTCATGCAACTATACTGGTAATTCTGTGTTCTTGAGGTTCATATTTCATGATTTTTGTGGATGATTAGTGCAAGTAAAAAAACATGGTGGTATTCGTGTCCCATAAATGCTTATTATTCGGCTAACAAAAGTTAAGTTATAGATTAAAATGTTTTCCGATTGACATTCAAATGAGCGAGTCATTTAGCATGAATGATTTATTTTAGATGTATTTTATGTGATTAATGATCTAGCATGCCACTCTTTAAAAGGTGTACTCCAGCCCACTGAGGAAAAATAGTGCAGTGCTGATCAGTGACTTGAACAAAGATTATTTGAGACCTCATGAAGAAGTCAACTTCTACGGTTAGCCAAGTGAACTGGAGTGCCTTCATCAGTTTCGATGTGAAATAACTGAAAAGTAGTCATTGCAGCCAGCCACTTCTATGTCTTTCTTAATTGATGACACTTCATGTTTAAGTAAGCACTTAGGAATGAATTCTTTGTGACAAAACTGAAACATTCGATTAGTTCTGCTTGTATTTGTGTCTCCACAACTGCTGATGAAATTGTTGTTACATTGTCAAGTAAAGTTATTACAATTCGGTCTTTTAAGCGTGGTCACTTGAGGGAGAAATTGTCCTTGAAGTTAGGGACAAGATGCTTCTTGGAAAGTGTACTTGATAACCCTTTAGAGCCTAAAGGTATTGACGTTCACGGATAGTACGAACTATACTAACACAATATCTAACACTCACAACTTATATAGTATTCGTTCCGCGTAGACCAAAGGCAAAGCAAAACGCCAGAATTGACCGTCCAAATTACGAGTTGTATTTCGGGACCAAATCGGAGTGCGAGATGATTGCTTAACTCTCTAGGGATCGTGCACGAACGAACGAACGTGTCACGACGGCGTACCAAATGGCTTGGATGCTTGACCGGAAGCCTTCAGCTAAACAAGTTGACTTAAACAGTGATGGTCAGCATTCAATGTTCAGTGATGAATGCTGTAGCCAATAATTCAGGGGAATTACCTACCGCTACAACCCTATTGAAGTCTTCGTAGTACCATTTGCATGATTTGGCCAATATAATATTGTAGTTTTACAAAGTAACTGTCAAATGACATCATGCAGTATTTTTCTTCTGAACGCTTTGTTCAAACTCGCCAAGTGGGCACTATTTAATCTATGTCCAAATATTGGGGTTGTTATATTCAATTTCCGGATGTAGACCTTATTTTCTAATCTGTCTAAAATTCCACTATTCATAAATCGTGTTATTTCTCTTCGTTCAATTAAAATAAAATAAAATATTAAAAGAATTGACTAAAACAATAGAATAAGTAATATTAACTAGTTATGCTTGATGAGATGTGTATACAAATTTTATTTATTGTAAGGAGATTTGATAAAAATGTCTTGGAACTCTAAATGAGTTTCATGAAGCTAATTGATAACAGTTATAGTACTGCTGATGAATTCAACTCTCAGCATTGTTAGTACAGTTTTTGTTACACTAGTAAATAAAAATAGTTAATGCATCGGGAACAATGTGAACAAAGCTACAGAGATTAAATGATTAGTGGCGTTGTCTGTGTTACTTATCGATAGTTTGAATTGTAAACATCATCGTGTTAACCTGAATGCTGTAAATCGTCGAAATTAGGAACATATTAAGCAAACAAGTTGATACACTTGCTTTTATAAGTAATTTTTGATGGAATCAATAAAAGATGTGTATATGCTGATTATTTTTGTCTGCAATCATAAATCACTGTCCTGTTCGGTAAATTCCGCCTCCAACTTTGATACATTCTAGTCTGAATAATATTTAGTCTGTAACCTTTTATTGCATCAAAAATGTTAGTGAAATAATTACTTTTTTCGTCTACTAACCATAACATTTGTTAAAGAAGTTGTGGCTTATTTAGTGTAACGTTCAAAAAAAGACCTTTTGAATTTTTAAACATAGTGGAATTATTCTAAATTGTTTTATAGTAACTGACTGTATTTGGTTTATTATTATTGTTCCCTTGGATTCTGAGTGGAACATAGGCTTCAACAGCGCACCTCCATTATGTAATATTCTTTAACTGGCTACACGATTGCCTATAATCTCACACCTGCTTCTCACACGATTTTCTTCATGTCATCCTTGGATGCCTCACTCGTCCTTTCCTATTCACGTCCCACTCGAATAGTGGCCTGGCGCGCGGTGTTACTTGATGGTCTTCTCAGTGTCCTCTCGACCTATCTCCACTCTCTTCTACATATTTTTTGAGAGATAGGTTATTAGTTGGTTCGTTCCCATAGTTTCTTTTTGCAAATTATTTCTGGCAATATAACCTTCATTATGAAGCAAAGGCAGCTGTTGATAATAGTCTGCTTTTCGTGACGCGTCAAGTTTCTGACCCAAGTAGAAAAACTTACTTAATATTGATGTTGGAAATCCGAATTTTGTTCTTTCTGCTGATTGCGGTAGATTTTAGAGAGATGACAGTCTGTCTGTAAGAAAGTTCATGAGATTATTTTTATTTTTAAATGTTTTTTTAAACTTAAGCTTCATAGGTTCATCGAAATCAACAAGAAAGTACTATTTTGGACATCATTATTTCCTATGATGCAGCACAGTTAATGCGTTATGTATAATAAACTAATCATTCTTTTGTTAGGGTCTTTGGCACACTATTCAAAGTTGGCGGAAGTATGTTGAACAGAATTTGCATGTGGATTGAAGTGCTTCAATTAAAGAGCTACAACACAGTGTTCTACCACCTATGTTTATGGAGGTTTCATACTTCAATTGTTTTTCAAGTCATTTCGGCATATGTCCCACCACCCTTCCTATGTATGTGTGAGTATATATATATGTATATATATAGTATGGGATGTCATGTATTCACTTGTGTAGTGTTGACGCTCGTGGTAGAGTATGTGATTGGCTTTTCGATGATTAAAAGCGGGGCTGAATAATAAGTTTCATGGATAATCGAATTCAGCCTTTGTGTTAATATTCTGCTGTTAATTTCTCCAGTGGCGTAGCGGTTAGGACGCTCGCCGACCATGCACACGGTCCGGGGTTCGATCTCCGACCGACACACTCCTTTACCTCGGTAAGCCAGAAATAATGCTGGTGAAGAGGAAAGGTTGGGCATGAGGCTAGCAACCCCATCCTGTAAAATAAACACTGCTACAGAAACTTCAAGCCACTAGCTTGAAGCCCTATGTTCCACTGGAGAACGTGAAGGAAAAAAACACAGTCTGTTTTACGCTTCTGACTCTGGTCTTAATATCCTTATCCGTGTCGTCTGGGCATAAAACGATACTTCCTAGATAAGTGAAGGAATTTCTTGATAGTGATTAGTGCTTGTTGTGGTTGGTTGGTTATTTTCTTCACCTCCGGCTTCTCTATGTTCACTTGAAGTTGTGTCTTTACTGCTTCTTCTGCCAGTTTGTTGGTTTTCACCCGTAAGTTTTGAAGTTTGTGTGACATTAGACATAAATTATCCGCGAACTCCAGATCTTCTAGAGTCTTCTTATTGGTTTACCGTATTCCTGCCTTCTTCTTCTTCACAGTATTCTGCATAATCCAACCCACCACAACTAACAATATCATCGATGGTTTATTGCTGTGAGAAAAAAAAGCCATTTGTTATCTTTTGATGTTTCTGATGCCTTTCAACTAAAAAAAAGAATTATTTAGAAAATTCAGATTATCTTTGAACTTCCACAATATCGTTTTTTCCTTAAAACAACATGAAACTAGTTAACAAAAAAACAACCTAGAAACAGAATTTCAGTAAGGTGTTCTGATTCATTCAGACCACTTTCTAAAGACTAGTCACTGAATTGTCTGGGATAGGATAAATGTATCAGAAAGTAATAAAATTAAGTGGAGAGAAAGCTGAATCATCAAATCCTTGTTCATCAAATCAACTCCAAGTACAGACAATAGGAATCATGCCATAATTATCCCGGATATATATATATATATATAATTGCAATAAAAACAGGTAGTAAGACTGTATCAGCCAAGTTATGTGAATACATTGATGTGATTATGAACAGTAAACTGTGCTCTAATCGTCATCCAATTATTATCACTAAATTACTGTATAAAATAGACTTATATCAATTCACATCGTACTATAGTGGCCAAATTCTACTCTTACATTAGTTAGAAATGCAAAAGTTTAAGTATATATGCTATTAGAAACATGCAGACAGACAAATATTAGTGTCTCTTAATTCGGTTCACTGAAGTAAATCTCTGACTTCCAACTTTTGGGTCTAGTGTTTACAACCTCTAGCCGTTTGGAGAACAAGCATAATTTATCAAATGTCGTTTGGCTTAGCACATATAATAGATTTGTTCCGAATGAATGGGTCTCATTAAAACTATATTTTGTTTCTGTTATTTATTTTTATTTATTTATTTTTTGAAAGTAGAACACCCCGTTCTTGATGAAAAAGGGATTATTATTATAATTAGTATTATTATCGACCGCTGACCGTAACAACATGCCCAGTTTTTTCTAAATAATTCTTTCTAAGAACAATAATTCACGAATAAATATGCAAGCTTGATAGACAGATTGAAACATGCAGAAG